TTGCAACAAAGTTTATATATAATTCTATATATTTTTGCTATAAATTTATATATATAAAAATTTAAGTATAACATATCGTATAACTGATATAGATTTTATAAGCTTTAAAAGTAAGCAAGAAAAGTTCCTAATTTTATTTTAATCTGTAATATTAATTAGATTTTAATCAATTTTAAAACAGAATAATTACAATATAAATAATTTTTTTTTAAAGAGTAGATATTTTTTCACTATAATTTTATTAAATAAACTATATAATTATGGTTACAACTTATTATTTAATATTATATTAGATTAGAACTAATTTATCTTTGTACCAAATTTCTATTTAGTAAGATTGTACCTGTTTGAACTTATCTAGTGTTAGCAGGTAAGTGACCAACACATATACTCACAAACAAACAAAAAATGATAGTTAGTTGTTAAACAAAATAGGAGAGACTACAGATAACAATACTTAGTAGAGAGGTGAGGCAGATAATGATTTGGCATGGGTCTAAGATGTCTACTAAATATTATTACATAAGGAAATTGGTATAGTTTTTAAAAAATATTTGACTTGAATTTTACTTGAGAGCTTTTTATTAACAACTTATTATATAAAGCAGATAGTATATATACTGGTTCGAACACTATTTAGATAAGAGAGATTTGGCTTTTTATTTATAATAAAAATTACAAACAAGAAAAAGATCAAGATCAAATCATTTTTTCCATTTCTAATTATTGAACTGTTATTGAATTCAAGCTATATGACCCTTTTATAGTTTAATTTCCAATTCTTGCTCACAGCCATTCTTATTAAAGCTTCGACAGAATTAAAAAAGAAGGCAATTAGAAGGCAAGTCGAATAAAGACTTCTATGTTATCATTATTCTTTACCCATCAATTCTATTGATTAATTCATTGACTCTTTTATCGATTCATATGCTTTTTTTTTACAGCTACACACTTTACCTGACAAGGTAATATTATTTTGACAGCTGTTAACTGAATCAGGTAAGTGTCTTTTTCTTCAATGGGATTGTTGATGAGAACTTGGCTTTCATAAGATCTTTATTTAATGCATCTATACAGAGAACCTGGCCTAAACAGATTAACTTGCATATAATAGTTGAGTAGAAATTGTGAGTTTGGGGTATTGTAATATAACAGCTCTTTGTATAACAATTTGTGCATCCTATATGTATCATTTTGTATGATTCTTGATTTCTATAAATATGCAGTTTTGCTAATAACAATTCTCTCTACCTTAATTTTTCATGTCCTGTAAAAAATCTAATGTGTCAGTCTTCAGATCACCTAATTGTATTTGCTTCTTTCTGAGATGCAGTGATAATCTTTTTTTTTTCTATCTACTAATAGAAAATCTATATACTAATATTAAAATCAAAATCAAAACTAAAACTAAAAACTAAAAATTATATAACAAATAAAAATAAAAAATAAAAAAAAATAAAAATAAAAAGAAACAACAAAATGACACAACAAAAAATCTAAACAAAAACATGTTCATATGCAATACAAAGAGTCAAACTCTTGCCATATACCTCTTATCTCCATATACAACTATCGTGTGTATCCATCTTCAATTTAAGGTAAAATTTTTTTTTTGTATATTTTTATTTTGTTAGTTGGGTTAACTTCACCTCTCAGATTCCTCCAGAATTGAATATCTGTATGACACTCTATAGCAGATATGAAGAACTTCTTGTAGTTAGATTTACTTTGATGAGGCGAGTTTTGTTTGCTTTTACTAACCTGATTTTTTTTTTATTAGGGCTCTCAATTTCTACAATATATATGTTTAGCAACAGTCTCTTTCGTTTTACACTCATTTTAGCAGATCTTTGTATTACTTGACCAGGAGCAACTTTAAAATTACAAGATTTTTCAGGAAGAAGATCTTTATTTTCAAGATAGCTCTTATTCTGATAACAAGGTCCACCAGAGTTGAATTGTCTATCCCTTTGTTATCTTCAGTGTCTTTTCGATACCATCTATATAATTTATCTGTTTTGGTACTAATTTCTTGAAATATTTCTGCGGCAGGCTCCATTTTGGTAAGTTTTTCTACTACATATGTAATCATCCAGAATTTATTAATCTTTCTTAACCATTTTTTATATTCTTGATATAGGGCTTCTCTTTTTAAGAGTCTTTTGGGTAGGGTGCTATTTACTTTCTCATTGCTATCATCATTATCAACTAATATTTCGTAATCACTTTTGTCATCAGTTTTATCATCATTGATATCTTCAAGCCTTATGGGTGAGGTTAAATTTCTTCTTCCTTCTTCTGGTTCCATTTATTTAGTTTTGACTTACTAATAGTATCTATTTTAATCTTTTTAGCTCTAATTTCTTTTTTATAGCTGGGTTCAATCAGAAAGCACTCTTTAGGTGTTAACCTAATATGAAGTAGCCGCATGATGTTAGGCCTTAGCTTTATTACGTATTCTATTAGTATCATCTATATTTGCAGTCTTTTGAAGATATTTAAATAGATAGTCAAATTTTGTTAAAGCAATAAAATTATGTCTTAATCAAACTTTATTAAAAAATAAACTTAAAGAAATTAAAATACTATTAATTAAATTTATTAAACATTATGAACAATAGATTTTTAAAATATAATTTTATAAAATAATATTTTTAAAATTTTAATTAATATATTTTTTTAGAAAATATTATCAAAAAAAATCTAAATATTTACAGGCAACTCTTATTAGTTTTTATTATCTTTTATATATTGCAGAATCAATTTATGAAACTGGTTCAGTATGGGCAACATGGCAATTTTCAATAGAAAGATTATGTAGAATATTAATTCCTTTAATTAATTCTTATACAGGTAGGTGACAAAAATATTTCCACACCTAAGAACTTGGCTTATAACTCAAAAACTTACTAATTAACTTATATCCTTGACTT